ATTGTATCAAGCCAGTTTTCTTTGGTAAGATCTCTTCTTGCTGAGGTCTACTGAGGAGATAATCCATACATCCTAAGGCTTCTCCCTGCTGCCCAGCACTTCTGATGAAGATAAGTGAGAAGAACCCTGTTCCACCCCAGTGGAGAGGCAAGTACACCTGTCATGGCCTCCCTCCTTCTTCCACGTGGCAATGACAAACTTGGAGCCACTCAGTCCAGAATGGCTATAGCCACATGCAGTCCAAGGGGTTTTCTACCCAGGGCCACTGATAAAAGGAAAAGAGATGGATGCATTTAAAATGCAGTCTTTTCTTTCTCTCCCCTCCCTGCCTAAATTCAAGACAGGCAACATGTGGTGAGGGATGTTGCCTATCTGGTGGCTTCATGCCAATGGGCTAGGAGAATTAAGTGGAAGGAGTCCTCACAGTCAGGAGGGCTCATCGGAGCCCCTCATAACAGGCACCATGACACAAGCAGAGTTTACTTCTTGTTCCCATGTTCCCACAGCACTGTATGCATGAGACTCGTTCCAGCCCTTAGCCTGGTATGCTATGGTGAATCTCATGTGTCATGTCCTCCTGTCTGTTGTGTCTAAGAAAAACAGCTTTATCTTTTTAATCTTGAGTTTCTCATGCCTAGCATAGTGTGCGACTCAGGGTAGATACTCAATAAAATTTCACAGCTTCTACCATTAAGATGTGAGAGTCCCAGCACCAGAATGGTTAACTTATTCAGCGTCAGTTAACTCCTCAGACCGTGAGTGACTAGAGGACAGAAAACCATGCCTTAGCTCCACTCAGCCATGAGGCATAGTGATTCAGAGTCACAAACACCTGTTTCCAAATTTTAACTGTGTCATGTACTTGCTCTGTGACCTGGGGTAAATGACATAACCTCCCTGAGCCTCCATTTCCTCATCTGAGATGGGCATGAGGATTAAATGAGATACTACTTGAAAGCAGTTGGCATCCAGTAAGAGTTTCTTGAATAGAGATGAGGTTTGTAAAGCCAGAGGTTCTCGGGGCAAGGATGATGCCTGATACAGGCTGAATGAGAGCCCCTCCGTGAATTTTTAATTCCCTGCCCTGTAGCTTCTGGTCAGAACTGCTGAGACTCAGGCTAACCCCACAGAGTGTGAACTGGGAAAAGCTGGTGATCTGTGCAGATGGACAGAAGAAACAGCAAAAGAAATGAGTTGGAACAATGAGCACCGCAGTTCTCTTCTTTGCCAGTTCCCGTCAAGATGTTGTGACATGCTGGTCTGACTCCCATTACATTTCTAAAGGAATGAGTTACTCCTTAAACTTTTTTTTATCCAACTCTTCCATGAGTAATATGAAGATGGAAAATGCCATTTTTCAGACTTTGAAGGGGTGAGGAGGTAAGAGGACACATGGGGCCAGGAGGTGCTGAGAGTTGAGTTTGGAAGCCACCTAACACCAACATCTGGCATCAGGTCGCCTGGGGCCCAAAGTCCTAGCACCATTCCTCCTCCTTGCCTCTCCAAGTTAAAGCAGGAAAACCACCATATACAGAACATTCCTCCCAAAGTAGAAACCCACTGAGGCGCTCCTATCATATAAGCCTGTTTTTATTTGTTGTCGGTCTGTCTGTTTTTTAAGAGGTTTTTGCCCTAGGCAGCATGTACTCACTAGAGAGAGAGAGAGAGATAAAGTCAATGATAGGGAAAGTGAGAAATCACCACCCAGGGGGGGAATGACTACACCACAATCCCTTGTCCTTCATCTCCTCCTGGGATCTTGGGCATATATGCACACACACCCAGCATGAGTTTCAAGTCACTGTGTCCAGGACTCAAACCATGGTTGGCCATGTGGGAATCCAGCAGCATAACCATTATACCATCTGCTGGCCTCAAGTCAGATTTTTTTTTTTTTTATTTTATTTATTTATTTTTATTTTGAGGGATTTTTACTATAGGGTACATGTGCTTGCCAGAGAGATGGGAAATGAAAAATCACCTCCTAGAGGGGATGACAACACTGCAATCTCTTCTCTAGTCACCTCTCTGGATTTTGGACATACACACACACACGTCTGGTGTGAGTTTTAAGCCACCAGGTCTGGGACTCAAACCACCATTGACTATGTGGGGAGTCCAGTGACGTAACCATTATACCATCTGCTGGTTCCACCTGATGGCTTTTATAAAATATTACAAGATGTTAAAATAAACAGCCTATAGAATGAATTAAGATCAAGTCACAGGATTTGAAGGTGGACCTCGGCAGGAAGATTCCATTTGGGCTGGAAACAGTTAACTCCAAGAAAATCTATCACGAAGCTGAGAAATGCACAGGCAATTGGGAGATTCACGTATGAGGGGTGAGGGCCAGGATCTGACTGGGACTCCATCCACACCTTTCTGGTTGGATATGGCTCTGAAACAAGGCCAAACCACCAACTCATTAGGTTTATTTTGTTGGTCTTTTTTTCCCCCCTCTTCCAATTTACTAGTCAATTGCTAGCAATTGAGTTGGGGAAAACCAGTCAGACAAAAAAGTCTAAAAACTTTAGTATCCAGTTATAGGCCAGCAGGTGGCATGGTGGTTAAGGTACTGGACTCCCACATGGCCAACTGTGGTTCAAGTTCTGAAACCAGTGGCTTCAAATTAATGCCAGGTTTGTGTGCATCCATGCTCAAAATCCCAGGAGGAGAATGAAGGAGAATGGAATGTAGAGTGTTGCCATCTCCCCTGATGGATGATTTCTTTTCTTTTCTTTTTTTTTTTTTTTTTTTGGAGAGGTTTTCGCTATAGGGTGCGTGCGCTCGCCAGACAGACAGAGAGAGACAGAGAGACAGAAAGTGAGAAATCATCCCCCAGGGGGGATGGTCACACTGCAATCCCTTCTCCTCCATTCTCCTCTCGGGATCTTGGGCACGCACGCACACGCACCCAGCATGAGTTTTAAGCCACCGGGTCCAGGACGTGAACCACGGTCGACTACGTGGGAGTCCAGCGACATAGCCATTATGCTAACTGCTAGTTCCCTGATGGATGATTTCTTACATTCCCTCTCACCGTCTCTCCAGAGAGTGCACATGGCCTATGGCATAAATATTTAGCTATTTTTTTTTAAATCAGCTTCTGGGATATCAAAAGCATTGCCAGAAGCAACACCGTAAAGGGGAAGAGTATAGGCTTGAGGTCCTTAGATCTGGGCTTGCAACCCAACTCACTGCCTGCGTGGTTTGGGCCAACTTCTATGCAGCATACTTCGTTGTTATTATTAGAACTCCTAGATTTATTTATGTACCTTACATTATCATCAGCATAACATACTTCTTACCCTAACATGAAGGCAATGATGCCTACTCCTTAAGGGTGTTATCAGTCTATCTATCTACCTACCTGTCTATCTATCTATTTATTTATTTGAGAGAGACTTTTGCTATAGGGCATATGCTCTCAGAGGAAGACAAGAGAAAGACAGAAAGAGACAGAAAGCAAGAAATCACTTTCTAGGGGAATGGCTACACAGCAATCCCTTCTCTTCTCTTCTCTTGGGATTTGGGCCACACACACTCACGTGTCTAGGACTCAAACTGCAGTCAGCAATGTGGGAGTCCAGTGTCTTAACCACTAAGCCATCTGCTGGCCCCAAAGGGTGTTAGGAATCTAAAGTGATATAACCCAGGTAGATCCAGCACATCTCTGACATACAGCAGGCATGTGAAGAGTGCCAGTTCTTTTCTCCTTGCCTGCTTTGGGCAAAGTGTTGTGTTGGGTGACATGAAGAATATGGAGATCCAAGTTACAGATCTCTAAGAGTCACTCCGGATTAGATATTCTAGGACAGTGCTTCCAAGGATCAGTATCAAACAAGGGCCAATTCCCATTCTATATTTACTCAGAAACTAAGGCGGAAACCAACAGTGAGGGAGAGTGGCCATACTGAACCTCAGCTCAGTCTCTCCATCCAAGATCTCCTATCACATGCTTTTCAGTATTTTTAGATATGGGTCATCTTTGCAAATTTGCTTCTGTGACACAGAAGATGCATAGTTTCCATGAAGTCACCACTGCTCCCCGAGTCTACCCACACCATAAACACCCAAAATATAAGAAGTGATGGGACCACAGTCTGTCTCATTTTCTTATTTTACCAATGAAGAAACTGAAGAAGTGGTGTGACTTTACTAAAGACTAAGTCACATAAGAGAGAAGAGTTGAAAAGAAACCAGCTTCTCCTCATTTGAGTCTACAGCTTCTCCACTGCACTATGAAGGCTGATAATTCATTTTTTTCATCAATTTCAAATTGAGCTCCTGAAACATGCTGGTATACATGCCTTACATGCCCCAAGGACACACATTGTGCCAACTGGCCTTGGCACAACTCTCCTTGCCTACTGGAAGCCTACCTGCATTGTCAAATACGCACGGTTGTTCCCCTTTCCTTCCCTGATGCCACCATGTGTTACCACTGCCCTAATTAGTTGGCAAGGTAAGGAAACCAACGGGGACTGGCAGAGTGGACATTTGCTGATTTTGCCTATCCAGCAACAGTACTTTAACCATTCTTCGAGCAGCCTCTCCACCACAGTCTGGTTGGGACTGTCACTCAAGCTGCCCCATTGACCCTCTGGCAGTGGGTGGACTTATAGCCTAAGCTGGACCAAACTTTCTCCCTTGAATTTAAAGTTTAAATACACCAACCAAGCCCTATAGAGCAGGACAGTGACAACCTTGGCACAATGAAGAAGTTGACCACTTTCTAAAATCATCTATAGAGCTGGTCCATTTTTCATTTTTCCCAAAATTAGCTGATCGTCTTTCCTCTGAATCAATGAGCAAGCCTCCGAAAAAAAAAAAAAAGTTTCTTTTTTTTCTCTTAAATTAAATAGACTCAGTTTCATTGCTTGCACCCAGAAAAACCTGACAAACAGACTGCCCAGTGCAATGACCTCATCCTAATGCATGGTTGAGAAACAGTGAACTGAAGATGCCTTGGTAGCCATTAGGAGCAGATTGCTTACCAGGCTTCTGGTACCATCCAAAGGGATAGGTGCGAACTTCAGTGTCGGGAGAGCCACAGTCCAGAAGACGCCAGGAGCCTCCACTTTCCTCACTGCATGTCTGAAGTCCCAAGCTGTTCAGAGTTAGGCATGTCACCTTTCCTCCTGAAACAGAAAATAGCCAGGACCAGGAAAGTGAGCATAATGAAAGATGGTAATTGAATGAAAGAAACTCCGCAAACTCAGGGGTTAGCAGACACTATATTACAAGTATGATCTCAGCCGCTGATGAAAAACCTGGTATTTTAAGGAGCCCTTGGCTTAAGGACACAGAGAGGACAGCAGCTAACACTTATTGAGCATCTATCATGTGCCCAGGGCTGTGCTAGGCCTCTGTTTGCATAGTTTCACTTGGTCTTCACAGAACCCTATAAGGAAAGTAGCATTTGTATCCCTATTTATAGATGAGAAAACTGAGACTCAGAGACCTTCACTGACTTGTCCAGGTCATACAACTAACAAGTAATTAAGCCACATTTTAAATACAGATCATGTAGATGAATCCAAAGTTTACTCTACTGAGCTGCCTGAACTGAGCAGAAGACAGCTAATCAAAGCATGCAAGGACTACTGACCAGGTAGACCTGCATGTGCAAGGGTGATCTTACACTGGATCAGGAGCTACGTCCCAGCCACCACATTTATCAGCCACCTCGGCTCTCCAAGCCTCTACTTCCATACTTATAAAAGAGGCTCGCTCCTCCCAACCTCCTTGAGGCAATGCTAAGGATTAGGTAAGATTATATAAGCAAATGTATTTTCTAGACAGTAGGGTACAATACAGAGGGGAGAGGGACTTGGCATCATTACCTTTTAACTGGGAAACATTTAGAAATCCAAAGCCGACACAGCAAGGGTCCACATCACACAATCGTTCACATTCAAAGAACCTGGCAGGAGGAGAGAAAGGCCTGAAGGCTTCCACTGGTGTATCAGGACCTATTGGGTGGTCTCGGCATAGTTGGTCTTATTTTGGGGGGCCAGCTTTCTGTATGACTGCCTAAACTGGGGGTGTTTCGGCAATCTGCATGAGTAGGTGCCTAGCTTTGAGGTTCTTTCTGAAAACAAAATTCTACTCTTTTCTCAGGAATGTGATCTTGCCATCCTCATTCATCCACTCATTTATTCCTCAAGTATCTGTTCTGCCTATCATGTACCAGGCTCTAGGCCATGCTAACCCAGGAGCCTGAATGTGCTCCTGCAACCCTTTCAGGTAAGGAGAAAAATCTCAGCATTTGACTCTGGGAAAAGGAAGCAATGGTGGGGAAAATCATCTTTGCAAAGGGGAGCTTTGCTGGACCTGCATTCAGGTGGCCCAATGAGCTGTCTATTTAAATAGAGAAGAGTTGAGTTTGTATGCCCCTTGGCTTCCCCTCTTACTCACTCTGAAACGTAGACTGAGCACATTCTCAGAATACATTTCTGTTTTCTGGGGAAGGCCATCCAGGCTCTCTCAGGACTTATCTTGCTTCTTTATCCATTGAGGCCAATAGAGCCCACCCTCAGCTTCTAGGACCCATTGTGGCAGACCCAATTTCAACCAGTGTTTCTGGGCTCAGTTCTACATGACCACATATGCCAGACTGATCATTCTGGACTCCTGAGAATTTGCTCAAGCCTTTTTGGTGTGAGGACCCTGCCTTTTCTTTCTATCCTCCTTCCTTGAATACAAGTCACATCCCAGCAACTGAAGTTCCTATCTGCTTGTCAGCTTTCCAGTGCTGGTGACGGCTCCACCCTGAGGCTGGTGCCGGCTCCACCCTGAGGCTGGTGCACCACCTCCTACATTCCCCTCTCCCAGAGGCCTGCCTGCCTGACCATGGTTCACTTCCTTTTCCTTTCTTGGAGGCTCAGGGCTCAGCCCAGCCTGGACCATGTGCTTGCCCAGTTAACTATGCTTCCCTGAGTCTAGACATACAAGTTCTCCTCCCCAGTGACTGTCTCTGTATCAAGATCAAGCTGGTTCTGGGTTCCAACCCTCCTCTTCTGCCCTCTCATCAGCATGGTAGTGTTCTGCTGGATCACAAGACAGACTAGCCTGTACCATCTTTGTACCTCCGGTTTCAAAAGTAGATCTTATTATATGCCAGCAACAAGAAGCATAATTCAACACCCTGTCATAGATTAAATAATCAGTGATCAATGACTCTCACCTTTTAAAATACATTTAAAAATCACCAGGGGGAGTTTCTTGAAATTTAGATATTTTAGCCTTATCCCCTAAAATGCTGGTTTAGTAGGTCCAGAAATGTGGTTAGAATAAAGCCCTCCTGTGATTCTGATGGGTGAGATTGATACATCATGCTGAGAGAAATGTCACCTTCAATTAAAACAACTAAATAACAACTAAACCAATTAAAAAGATAAATATTTTAAATAATAAAATAAATGAAAAGCCCTTGTAAGCTGAGGGTTATGTTAAAAGTTCTGCCTGCTTTCTAGATTCTGAATAGAGCACTATGAAGCTTTGAGGACCAAGTTGTCATCTCGCTAAGTAATTTTCATTAATTGACAAGATGCAGCTCATTGTGTCTCTTTTCTATCAACCAACAGGTTCGGGACTAAATGTTGTGTTTAATGTCTGTAGCTTAACCCTGCAAAGGTTCTTGGATAGAGTCACCCTCTACTTGCCTCTTCAGTCTCTTCACTCTGAGTTTGATAGTGTTTCATGCTTCTGCCTCTTTCTGTGCTCACCTTCTTTATGGAAGTACACAAGTCTTACTAGTAAATACTGGGGGTGGGAGTAGCTTACCCATTGGAAATGGATTTTTCAGACATGGGCACTTTGTTTCTGATGGAAATCCCTGTCAGTTTTCGGAACAGCAGGCGTGTGTAGAAGTTCTTCACTTTATCTTTCAGTACAACTACACAGAGGACAAGAATTGTATTATTTAGAACAAGATTAGCTATACCCATGGAAATAGGAGACAAGAGAGTTAAAACCAGATTGAGGGCTTTCAATTAAAGATGGCATTTAACCTCATGTCTTTAGTCCTTGCTCCCATCCCAAATCTCACCAAAATGATAGTACAGAGACTCTTACAAAGGCATAGACCCATAGGACAAAGAGAAGAGGAGAGAGGCCATAGCGACAAACTTCTAGAAGCTGAAAGACACACGGAGGAGTAAAAGTGGACTAAATAGACCTAAGAAGGATTGGCTGGAGGTCTCCAGATATCCTCATCTGATTTCCACAGCTGATACCTGCTCCTTTCCCACCATGAGAGAAGACGGAAGGTTTGTCCTCGGAGGACAGAGAGAGGGTATCTTGGATGCACCAGGTAGACTTAATGGTAGGAGCAGCACATTGAAAGTCAAGGATTCTTTCAAGTCAGTCTCATGGTAAATAGGGGGATCCTTCACCTTCTAACCTTATTTTAGTACAACTAGAAGCCAGGCCTATGCCTCCAGGCCAGATATTAAGACTGTCCTCTAGACAAAGGACCTACAAATACCAACATGAGAGATATCCCAAAGGGTGACCTAACCAGATTCCACTACAGAAAAACCTAAAGTCAGCCACACACTCTAAGTTTCTCAATCATCTATGGGTTCTCTTATATTTGGGTGGAAAACCAAGTCACCAAACATGTGAGAAAGGCCTCCAGTACAGGAAGATGAGACAGTAAGTGTGACAACTTCCAAAGGAAATAGAGACTGTACAGGGTGGAAAAACCCCAACAATAATAACAACATCTTAATGTCCTTGGTGAGAAACCAGCTTCTAGCTTGTTGAAGTCACTATTGCTGACACCCTCTGAGTGACAGAGCCAAATGGAACTCTAAATGATGCATGCATGTGCATTAACTCTCCCTGAGGCTCTGCCAGAGGACTGAGATTCCAGAGCCAGGTTATTCTCCATAGTCAATTTGGCACATTTCTGAATGTCTTCACATCTTATAAGAAGCATGGAAAAATCTTACTTAAAAAAATAAGAAGAAATTAACCAGGATATTTCTAAGACTACAGAGCCAGCAGCCCATTGGAAATACAATTTATGCAAAGCCCACTAAGCACTCACCTTTCTTCCTGAACAAGGCCTTTGGTCTGTGGGGCATAATAAGCCTGCAGCCCTCAGCACTGGACTCCATGACATCATCACACACCTGGGCCTCTGGGTAGAGGGTGCAGGTGAAGTACAGGACTGCATTCTCTGTTATCTCTGCAAGCTGACAGAAGGTGGGCTCCTGGGCACAACCTATAGGCAAGAGAACAGTTGGTTGTTAGTTTCTGAGGAGCCTAGTAGGGAGAATTTCCTCTACAGAATCTTCTGGGTGAAAATCCTGCTAGAAAGTCTTCCTAGTTAGGAAAGAAAGCCAAGACAGTCATGACTATGCAGTCTGGGAGGCTGAGCAAAAACCAGCTGGGGAGGGAGCTGCATGACTCTGAAAAAAGGCAGAATCTAAGTGAGGTGAGAGGGAAGCTTCGAAATCCGCAACACAGAAGGTGAAAGGCTGAAATTCCACTGGATCTCCCTATGACATCTCAGAGGCAGCCATGATCTGCAGGCCAGAGGCCACAGGACTATAAAAGCAATTTCTCCTGCCTCCACATCAAGATCTGTCTTTACCACTGGTAACCAAGAGCTCCCTGGGAGCAGGAACATGGCTGACTTCCTTCTTGTTTATACAAGCTACAAAATCAAATATAAGGCCTAAAACAATGCAGACTCGATAACTGCTAGATAGAAGGAAGGATGGACAGATGAACGGATGTATGGATTGGCAGATGGATGGATGATAGGTTCTGGGAGTATACTACAGGCTAATGACCCCGTGGGCCTCCTGAAAAAAGGTGTTTTGTGTTCTTTGTTACCCACAGTACAAAGGGTATAATGATCCATGAGTCACACCACTGAGTTTGATCTTAACTGTTTTCTGAGAGTTGGGAAAGTAGGACTGTGATTCCTGACCACAGGATCTCAAAGAAGGATGAGGGCTCAGGCTACTTACGAGAAAGGCACCACAGGTTTGCCTGCTGGGCTGAAAACAAGTGTTTGAAAAGCCAGTGCTGTTGGCTGGGCAGAGATCGGTTTTCATTGATAATAACCTGGCTTAGGTCCACAGGTGAGAATAATTCTGTTGTCAAATCTGAAAAAAAGAAGAAAATCAACTTACCCTTTTTTCTGTGGTCTGAGAGACACAAGAAAGAAAAACAGACAGAAAATCAAAGTCAGGTAATAAACCATATCTGCGTCCCACGATAGTACTCTCAACTAGGCTAGACCGAGGTGTATATTATGCTGGGTAAACTCTTTTTGCAATATAAATGATGTATAGTGATTGAATGTATAAATAATAATAAAAGAAAAATATTAAAAAAATAAATCAAAGTCAGAGATAGAGACAGGCATGTTTAGACTGTGAGACAAAAGCAAATCTGGAGTCAACAGGGCTGGGAGTCTGCTCTGGCAGGGAGGGTTAAGAAGATCCCAGAAAATTTTAAAAATTATGGAATTGCAAAATCTTAGAGTCTTGGTTTGGAAGGAACTTTGGGAGCTCTTTGGCCTATCTTTTGACCCAATACAGAACTTTTCCAGATGATACAGCTATACCGTGACTCTGCACCAACCACAGCAGTCCACCTGCATCAGGGAGTCACGGAGTCAAATTTGTCTCTGTGACTTTGACCACGTATGCTCCTTCTGCCTCCTGAAGCCATCTGGAAGTGTGACCTCTCTCCCAAATGGCGGCCTTCATCTATGAAGCTCTGCTCACCCCAAACCTGAATGTTCCAGCTCAACCCTCCCACCAAGTCATTCTGTGTCTGTATAGACTGTGATCCCTGCTGAAAGCTCTTCCTGGGCTCCCCACTGCCCACGGGACAGAAGTCCAAGCTCACTCTCAGTCCAGGCTCTGCACACATGTTGAGGCTTATCTTCAATTGCCTCAAGTTAGACTTCAACATGCAAATGCTGTGGACACCAGCATATCGCTGCTCTGTGTACCACCACAGGGCTTTCTCAGGCCCTTCCCTCTGTCAGCATATACTCCACTAATCCCTCTCCCCACCTCACTAGGGCTACTTGTACAAGTCAGCGTTATTCCCTCCTGTGGCTCTATAAAGGGTTTTTCTGGGGCTGAAAACTCCAACATCCAGACCCAGGGTGGGATATATCTGTGCCTTGTGAGGGCACTGTCCTTCCAGAAGGGCTTACACTGGGGACATAAAGAAAACCAGAGGCATGAGCGAGGGGCAGTTTGCAATGTCTGTTGGTTGGTTCTAGGCTCTGGCATGAGGGGCGTGACATCACGCATACTCCACTACACCATGGATTTGCTGATCCCCTCAGCAGCCCACTCTCAAACTCCAGAAAGCAGGCTCATGGAGCCTGACTTCCGCACTGGTGATAACCACCAAATGGAACAAGGGCTTGTTAAATACCCAGCAAAGCCAGAAGTCTGATGCTAGCAGGGACCCTGGAGACCATGCTGCCACCCAGCCCTTTGGTTACTGCATCTCATCTTATGCATAATGGTCAGTTGTCATGTGCATCTCCCCATTAACACATGCCCAGCACAAGGCAGGAGATCAAAGAGAACACAGACTGCCTGTCAAGATGGCAGAGCAAGGAGGAAAAACATGGCGGCAGGCCTAAATGCATGTGAAGTTCCCTCAATGGCACTCACGTGCCCAGTCTTTGACAGGTGTTCCCTTCACCTGGAACTCTTTCCACCAGGTGTCCTCAGGAAGTATATGGAAGATTCATTCAGACTCCCCTGAGAAGCCTCCCTGGCTCCTGCAGGCTACTAGCACCCCGTGGCTCCTGCAGTCTCACTGCACCTGACACCTGTCCTGGTCCAGTGCACCTGGCCCATGGCCATGTAGTGGCTGATGTGGGGGAATTCTCACTAGTCTATGGATGTCCAAGGGCACAGCAGATGTACTCAGAACAGGTCTTTCAGATGAAAGAATGACTACTGTAGCTGCTTCATTCTATACCTGACTTATTCTGTACCTTATGTCCTATTAGGAAAAAATCTATCTCCTACTCATTCTCTTAAAACTACACTGACCTTGAGGGCAAGGAGATTGACCGTTGGCTCGCCACATGGGAGAACACTCTGTTGCCCTCCCTGCACTTGTCTCCAGCATTCAGACTGATTGCAGTAACCTGATACAGAAAGGGGATGACTCCTCACTATGCTTTGAATAAGAGAGGCTGCCAGGAAGGGTAACAGAGTAAACAAGCTTCTGGGGAAGCCCTGGCTCCACGCAATTACTTTCGCAAGCACTTTATCTTCTGAAGCCAGGGATGTAATCAACAGAGACAGGGAAAACTAAGCTGAGCTTTGTCCATTCACCCAGAATCCCTCCAAGGTCACAGTCAAGGGCAGAGCACCCTTCTTCTGGGGAAACAAGAACTTGTGATAGATTCATAGATGCAGCCGAGCAGTGTGTGAAAATGGGCTTCATAGATATTCTCAAGGGCTACTGACTCCTTCACACGTGCATTGCCATTAGATGTATGAAATCCCTAGAAGTCACCACCCAGGCTGGGGATCACGAACACAGATGCCCGGGTGAGGAAGTGGAGAGCAGGAGAAGAGTGCAAGTCTCTGATGGAAGGGCAGCTCAACTCAGCTCAGGGGATGGTCACCAGGCAGAAATTTGGAGCCAGTGTCACCTGAATTTTTCCTCTTTTTATTTCTGGAGCATCTGGAAATCTGAATTTTTATATTGTGTCATCAGAAAAGTCATGACGCAGTTTTGCATAGAAAAATATGCATGCCTTTTTCCATGGCCCAATATAAATTCTCAATTTCAAAAGACTGGCTCAGTTAACAAAAAGTCTACTCTGCAAATCAAAACCCATCTGCTCAACTGCCTGCGTCCACCAGCACTCAGCTCTCCCGGCTGCACGGTCTGCACAGAGTAGGTGGCCAGTGTTAGAGAACGATCCAGGCTTCAGAGTCCCTTGACCGTGGTGTTGCTGCCTACTTAGTGCTGAGCTGTATTAAACGAGGGACATCGATGCACATGAAGCCCTACATTCCTCATCGGCAAAACTGAGTAACAGCAGAGACCAACAGAGTTGTTGTCATAACACTTGTGAGATAATGTCAACTAAGCAGCGACTGCAGGGCCTGGCACCCAGGAGACTAGGGTGCAGGGTGCTCGCTCTGTTCTACCTCATCTCCCTGGACAGGCTGCAGCTCAGCCTGCTGCAGCAGGAAAGTAATGGCTGTCACAGGTAAACCTAAACAGCAAACTGCAGCATGACTGGGAGGTTAATTTGCCAAAGTGCTGGCACTGGGCAAAGAGCAGAGAGGCCAGGGGCCAGATCATGGTGAAAAAGGGCCCAGCCAAATGCTTACCAATGAGAACAAGGGGCCAGCCTTGAGTAGGTGCCCACCCACCCATCAATCCTGCTGGCAAGCTTGAGGCTTCCAGTAGAAATGAGGGAATTAAATGAGGGATGCCGAGGCACCTAGACCCTGCTAAAGGACATTGAGACAGGGATATGTACTATGGCCCTAGTCCTGATCTCAGAGTGGGGTCTGCTACATAGCAGCAATGTAGGAAGGGAGTCAGTAAGGGACACTTGCCTGAATGCGCACTGGGGATCAGCCTCTGTGCTTGTATCAGAACCACCACCGCAGCTGTTGATGTGAGCACTGGCCCTGTGCCATGGCAATTCATAGAATTATCTCATCTAATTCCCAAATCCGATTTCATGAGTACCATGACTCTATTCACAAAGAAACTGAGGCTTGAAGAAGGTGACTCACATAGGGTTGCACTGGAAGGTAGGGGCAGAGCTGGGAGTCAAACCCTGATCTCCTGACCTGAGAACCCACGCTCCAGCCTGGGATCTCATTCTCAAATCCTATCACGGCTCTATGAGCGTGGAAGGAACTCATAAATACAAAACAACTACTGTCTTCAGTGTTTTATCCCTATCCTCTCATCTGATCTGTACGAGGAAGGCAAAGGAACTACTACTTTGAGGAATCTGTTAAGAAACAAGCAATGTGCCAGGTGTTTTCTCAGCTAATGGGATGAGAGGTAGGCAGGATTCTTCTTCCTACACACGAGGCTCAGGCTCTCAGAGGTAAGCAATTCACTCACGGCCACACAGAGGCAGAAAGGGCTCAAGCCCCAGTTCACGTGGTTATGAATCTCCCATCAGACCATGCTGCCGCCCTGCTGCCTGCTCGGGCGGACCGAACTGTCCTCTTCCTTCCCTCCACTCCTCTCTCAGTATGCTATGTATCTAGTCTGTATATATATAGATGTATATATGTATACACTATATATATATATATACACACACTATATACACTATACACATTATACACTATACATATATATATACACACTATACACTATACACACTATACACTATACATATATACATGCACACTATATACACTATACACACTATACACTATACACTATACACACTATACATTATGCATATATATATACACACACTATATACACTATACACATTATACACTATACATATATATATACACACTATACACTATACACACTATACACTATACATATATACATGCACACTATATACACTATACACACTATACACTATACACTATACACACTATACATTATACATATATATATACACACACACTATATACACTATACACATTATACACTATACATATATATATACACACTATACACTATACACACTATACACTATACATATATACATGCACACTATATACACTATACATATATACAAGCACACTATATACACTATACACACCATACACTATACACACTATACATTATACATATATATATACACACACACACTATATACACAGTACATATATACTACATATACACTATAGTATATATGGAATATATACACACATACTATAGTATATAAAGTGTATATTATATACTATAGTATATAAAATATACACTACAGTGTGTGTGTACGTGTGTGTATTTTATATATATATATACACATATGAGTTCTATTCCACCTTGGTAATTACAATCGCAGACTCTGGGAGTAGAGAGATCTCAGGATCACATATGTGCTGTTCCTATTAGGGCAGGACTCACATCTTCCACTGCATGTCATAATTCTCTTACTAACAAGTCTCATCGACATCTCACTCATAAAAAATTCAGAATAGGGACCAGCAGTTAGTGTAATGGCTATGTCGCTGGACTCCCATGTAGTCGACCGTGGTTCAAATCCCGGACCTGGCAGCTGAAACTCACGCTGGGCGCGTGTGCGTGCGTGCCCAAGATCCCGAGAGGAGAATGGAGGAGAAGAGATTGTGGCGTGATCATCCCCCCAGGGGGTGATTTCTCACTTTCTCGCTTTCTGTCTCTCTGTCTCTCTCTGTCTGTCTGGCGAGCGCACATGCCCTATAGCAAAAACTTCTCCAAAAAAAAAAAATTCAGAATATTCATATTTTGTTTCCACAATTTGGGTTTACAGTAGTGAAGCCGTTGACGGCAGCCCGGTGAACCTGCTCTTTGGCAGCTCTTTTCTGCTTGTGTTATTACGGTTGCTTTCGTTTCCAGCAATGGGGAGGAACTGGGACCTACTAACTGCACCAGTGTCCCATCTGAGGAGCTGACCGTATCCATAAAGTAGGTGACTGGGTAAGAGGCTCAGAGGGTGTCTGCGGCTGCAGGATGGAGTGATGCCGGTGGCTAATATTTTAATTCACGGATCGCGCCCTCGCCACCACCATCTTGTCTCCACAGCCAGACAGCCAGGGATATAAAAAGGTTTCAGGCTTTGGTACCTGCTTCTGTTGGAGATGCTGGCCTCGGTACCGCGTCCCTTCTACATCCCATAGACTCAGGCCGAGACCCCATGTCAGAATCTAGGAGAAAAAGAGGAGAGCTGTACCAGTATTGGGTAGAAGGGGGACTCCACAGTCAGCAGGGTGGGGTAGCAGTGCAGGCACCTGGTCAGGCACCGTGACCAGGTCCCGACAGACCCCACCACAGACCTTCACTCCATGCCTGCCGTCAGCCTCTCAATATCAGAACTATTAGTATTCATGACAATAAAGTTGTTAACATTCGTAAATCCCTTTAGAGTTAACAAAACAGGTTCCGCAGTGCTGGGTTTATGACACGTGTGAAGGTGGGGAGAAAGATTTCCGGTTCCCTCTTGAAAGAATTGAGAAAAAGGGTTGAAATCATGTAGCCCAGACCACTCAGGTGACCAGGGGACAAACTGGAATCTGAACAATTAAAACATGGCGAAGCAGTTACATCTCTGGACTAGCACATGGCCCAGCGCAGTTCTAGCCTTGAACCTGGTGGCTTGAAACTCATGCCAAGCGCATGTGTGTGTGCGCCGGGATCCCAGGAGGAGAATGGAGGAGGAGGGAGGGATTGTGGAGTGGCCATCTTCCCTGGGGGGTGATTTCTCACTTTCTCTACTCTCTCTCTCTCTCTCTCCAGTGAGCACACGCACCCTAAGACAAAAATCTACCAAAAAGGTCCACATCTGGGACAGGTCTGCTTCGACTGGGTCTGTGGGGCTGGCAGAGCACTAGCCGGTCTCTGGGCAAATGTCCCAGGAAGAAGTCACTCCTTCACCCACACCACTGACACCCTGTTTCCAGGAATCTCTGACACCTGGGAAGCACAAGACTTGGGGCAAACCGCCAGCATCTGGGTCCCACCCAGGACCTCCTGAGGGCATCCGGGGTGGGGGAGCTATCCCTTGGCCTCTCCATGGTTCATGGGAACAAACGTTCCCCTCCCCCAGTCCCACCCTGCACTGTGACTAAATGAGAAAGAAATGTGTCATCTTTTTACAGCACTTTAAAGTCAAAATGATGGCGAGCACCTTTCTTTTCTTTTTCTCCCCACTCTTCCTCTTCTTCCTCCTTCCTTCTTCTCCTCTCTTCATTGTCAGCACCAGCAGCAGCACCAGCGCCACGGAACAGCACCAGCGCCAACACCAGCACCACGGAACAGCACCACGGAACAGTACCACGGAACAGCACCAGCACCACGGAACAGCCCCAGCCCCAGCCCCACTGAACGGCACCTGCGGCCAGCACTGCTGCCGGGCCGCTATGCAGGACTGTGCCTGTGCTGAGGCTCTGAGGCTCCGAGCTGCTCTGATCACCATGTGCCAGTGGGGAGTCTGGGTTTCAAGGCCCCCCTGGCTGTGATAAGTGACAGAACCAGTTACTCCAAGTCTACTTGGAACCCAGTCCTCCGCTCCTCCCTTCCCAAGTGGACCAGTTCTGTCTCTCAGTAAGGAGGAACTATGGGGAGAGGAGGAAGTAGGGGTCCTTTCTTCAGGCCGCCCCCTTTGCACTCGTGGCTGTGAAGCATGACGGAACACCACCGTCCCTGCTCCTGCCTGAGGCTGCGGCCCTTTACTCCCACCACTCCCACCAAGGCCAGTCACAGTCCCTGGATGCAGTAGGCACCATCAGTGCTCGGTGGGACCAGAGGAGGACAGGCAAGCAGAAAGGCAACGCCACGTGTCCCTTTGCCCGAGCCTCCCCTCTCCACCCTGGTATACAGCACGGCTGCAGGTGGGTCCACGGCACCACCTGCCTGGGTCCTGTCCCCTCGCCCTGAGCCTCCCAGGGAGAGAGACACACGAGGCTAAGTCCCCTTGAACAAATGCCTCCTGCAGTTTGCAGTGGCCCCAACGTCCCCCTCCCAGTAACAAGGGCGGTTTGTGGGCAGTGAACTTGATCTCATGGGAACCCAGCGCTTCTTCGTCATCCTTTCTGGGGTTCCCACACTTTCCAGTTTTAGACTTTGGCACCTTACGTGATGAGGAGTTGAGGCCCTTCTATCCCACAGAGGCACTCACCTGGAAGGAAAAATCTCTGCCCATTTCTCTAGGGGGATCAGAGTGTCCCAAGACGGAGACACAGGGGCAGATCCCAGCATACTACTAACCCCTCCCTCCCACCACGAAGCTCACCTTTCCAGAGGTAAACCTGCTGGAAACTGGTAAAGCGGTCTTGTATTCCTTCTGTGGCTGTCAGACCTGCAGAAGAAGTTTTGATTTGTATGAATTTGGGTACCCACCGTTACCTCGAGCACACCATCTTTCCCCTGCTGACCCCTCCTGGGTCTGTGAAGTTCATTGCTCACTTGAGGCGCACCCCCAAAGCCTCCTGGAGTCTATTCCAGCTCCCTGGCCTAGAACCTGAGCAGGACAGATGTTGTGCTCAGGATACCAAAGGGGCTGTTTCGGTGAGGGGCTGTGAACCATGAGCAGGCAAAATGGCTTGAGGGCCTGGGGATCCCCTTAAAGAAAACAAACCTCCTAGGAGGCACTAGGGCTGTGTTAGCTTTCCACATCCCTTAACACCCCCTAAGCCGCTGCCTCCTGAATAAAGGGGATGGCAAGGATGAGGAGGGGACTGATGCAGACAGACCATCTTCTGGAGTCCTCCACATCTGGCACGCACCCATTTATTGACAGCTGCCATTCTCTAATTTGTTACTGATAATATTCAACGTTCTCGTCTGGCAAGCTCTGCTCCCCCAGCTGCTGCCCTGGGTGAGAGAGGACTTGCCACACCATTTCTTGATAGCTGATGTTGCCTCTTTTTGCCCCCGGGTCAACCCGCAGTTCCTGCCAATTCCTCCTGAGAAACGGAAGGTTGAGAAAAGAACACAGAAGAGCAGGTGTGGTGCTTTAGCTATCCAGGAGGTCAAGGCAGGACAATCTCGAGTTCGAGGTCAGCCTGGACAACACAGCAAGAGCCTGTCTCTTCCAAATCTTTTTTTAAAAGAAGAGAAAAAAATCAGCTCCAGACTGTTGCCATAGTAGTACACCTGGACCCACATGGGAGGTCTCTGCACAGACCAGGCACACACATGCCTATGATCCTGGCTGGGCAGAGGCTGGGGGTGGATGGCAGCATGGAGACCTTATTGGGGTGCTTGCCCCTCTTGACTCTCTCTCACACAAGGAAGAAATTAAAAAAAAGAAACTAGAAACATACAAAAAAACATACAAATTTTAAAAGAAAAATAATAGAGAAGAGTGGAGTATAGAAAACATAGTCTGGAGGCCAGTGACCCCACACACTGGAGAAAATAGCTAGCTGACAATTTGAGACATCAGGGCATGATCCAGTTTTGATTTTCATTATTATTGTGAGTCAGTTATTGATAAACAGTGATTAGCATTTATCCGACATGACAATGAGGACTTGTTTGTCCTCTGCCTTATGAATGAGACCACAGCGCAAAGTCCTATGACACCAACTCAGAGCAGGTGGCCCCTGCTGGGCCCATGTTCCATTTTCGCTGTCTCCTCATGATGTCATCATTTACTTGTGATGATGAAGGTCAAGCCATGGGGCTTTGGACCTGGTCACATGGGAAACCAGGGAACTTAATTTTTGAAAACTGTTTCTCTGTGTCTATTTGGTGTGCTGACTCTTTCAAGTCAGACAGGTAGGTAGGTAGGCAGGCAGATGATCTATAGATACATACATAGACCGTAGGTAGATTTCTATTTCTAGGAAATATAGGTAGAAAGTAAATACTACTTTCAAAATACTTTAGGCTAGGCATTATTACTCTGATTTGACCTATAAAAGTTGGGAAGACAACGTCTATCTTAAGACAGTTTTATTGCTCTTGAATCTAAGACTAAAATCAATGACCACTTTAAGAAACAGTTTACTGCAGGATCATGGTGGGCATTTAGGTTATAGGCTCTCGATAAGAATCTGATCATCCCCATACCTGCCCTTCCTAACATTGTTCACCCTAGTGGATTCCAAGAAGAAGGTCTTTACCTCTCAGCCGCCTGGGGCTGAGTTCTCTGGCCTCTCACTTCGTTAGGCCCATGTGGTTTGTGTCTGGTGTGGTGTGATGCTTTACGGAGAGTGGAAAATCACAGGTGCCCTCCATCACCTGAGAAAAACCGACTGGTCTACACAGGTGCACAGACTGTTTGAGAATGTGCTTTTGGCCCAGAACACGCTGAACTGTGAAGGAACCCGGCCCTGCGGCACACTCCATTGTCTGTCTCAAAGCAATGGAACCCTGTGTTTCTCCGTCAAAAAATATGGTGAATCTTAACTTCATCCTTGGTTTTTTCCTCGTTTCAACACAATTCAGCCCAACGAATCCCATTAACTTTAGCACGTGGATGGTGAGCACTTGGCAAGTCCCACAGGCCACCTGGCCGGTATCTACAGAGACCATTACGGCTTCCTAGAAAGCATCTTTGTAAGTCGCCCAAGGAAAATGAGGTGGTAGTTTTAATTATTAAAATAATCATCAAGTCCCCAAAGAGACCAAAGCCTATCAGCAGAATATGGATTTACAAAGACAAGAGGTATTCCACCCCTCTCCCCCACCTTCTACCAGGAAGAGCAAAGGTTAGCCACTGCAGATGACTTCTGACCTTCATGGGCCTGGAGGTAGTACAGAGGAATCAACATTAACAAGCTCTCTAACTAGCTTTTATCTACCATGTGTTAGTACAAAAGGTCCCAAAGAGGTATGAAGTGTCTGAGGGGTGAGATTCTCAATGAGCAGAGCTCTTTCATTTGCTGGCACAGGGACAGGGATAACCAAAGCACTTCCTGCCTCCGGTCAACTACCCACATGCCCATGGTAGCAGAAAGAGGCACTGACGGGGTGGAAGAGTTTCCACAGGTGGCTCTGGGGTCTGAAGCTGAAGATTTGAGCCCAAGCCATGGCACAGTTTCTTCCCCAGGGCTTGGCTGTACTTGAAGACTAACCTTTTATTTTAAAAAGAAAGGATTTGTGCCCTATCCTTCTGGACTGGAAATATCTCTTGGTCAGTCTACATATAAGGCAACCTCCAGTTAGAAATATCAAGGATAGGGACCAGCAGTTAGCTATGTCACTGGATTCCCACGTAGTCGATCATGGTTCGCTTCCCGGATCTGGCAGCTTAAACTCACACCGGGCGCGTGTGCGTGAGTGTCCAAGATCCCAAGAGGAGAATGGAGGAGAAGGGACTGCAGCGTGGCCCTCCCCCCTAGGGGATGATTTCTCGCTTTCTATCTCTCTGTCTTTCTCTGTCTTTCTGGCGAGTGCATGCGTCCTATAGCGAAAACTTCTCAAAAAAAAAAAAATATATCAAGGATGAACCTCAGGCTGCCTGAAATTCCCATTATGAGTGACTTTTTTTTTCTTTTAACTTCTGAGAGAGAGAGAAAGCACCCCTTATAGGTGATGGCCACACCACAATCCCTTCTCCTGCATTTCTCCCTACTTTGGGGACTTAGAGCACAAATGCATGTGCCTGGTGTGTTTCTCAAGATGCTGGGCTGGGACTCAAACCATGTAGTCAGTCATGTGGGATCCAGCTGCCTTAACCAGCAGGCTATGCACTGGCCACAGGCACCCTTTTTAAAGCCTTGTCCTCACCCAAAACAGAGACACATATACAAAGTACTGAGAAAAAAAATCTAAAAACTTCAAAAGTCATTCGGTAATCACACCTTCTCAGGGAGGTCAGATAAGGGCACAGACTTCATCCTTGGGCACCTACCAAGTACTTACTCCAAATTACGCAATTCAGTCTGAATTTATGGCCTATGAATATATCATGTGTCTTTCCTGAAATGCCTGCTTTCACCCTGGGCTACCGCTCAGAGTAATGAATACCATATGTTTACTACCCATCATACAAATAAGTTATTTGATTTTATTTACCCCAAAAGCAACTAAGCCACATGGAATTTCAAGATCTGTACATTTTTTCCCCAGGCTTTTATAACTCTGTACTTCACAGGTATATTTTCCATGCCAAACTATATGCACTATAGTGTTAAGCCAAAAATTAATAAAGCGCAGTTCAGTTTTTAAAACATAGCAAAAAAGTCCTGCCAGTGGCATGATGATTAAGGGGCCTGGATCCCACATGGCTGGCTGGGCAGTTTGAGTGAGTCCTGAATCCAGTGGTTTGAAAACATGCCAAATGTGTGTACATGTGTGCCCAAAATCCTGACAGGAGAATGGAGGAGAAAGGATTGCAGTGTGGCCATCCATTCTGACGATTCCTTCTCACTTTCTCTCTTTCTGGTGAGTGCATGAATGCTATGGGAAATTAAAAATATATTGAGTCATTGGAAAAGTCATGATGTGCTTTTCTATGCAAAAATACATCATTATTTTTCTGGAAATTATATATATATATATATATATATACACACACACACACACACACACACATATATACACACACATATATATAAAACAAAAACGATGAATGTATTATCATTATTTAAAAACAACTATGACTATAATGTCATCTAACAGTAACACCATGTGCCATGCACTCTGCTACTCTTTGCATGGGAGACCCCTAAGCACCGACAGAGAGGAGTGGTTAGGAAGGTCACTTTGAGAAGTCAAATGCTTTCTTTCAGATCCCAGCCCTCCTCTCGACAAGCTGAGATTTTGGGAAGTTACCCAACTTCCAGATGCTTCAGTTTCATCAGCTACAAAGTCGGAGTAATGGTAATGACAGGGGTTGCCTGACCCAGCGGCTGCTGTGCAGACAGTAGGGGCACTGCGGCATGATGCTGGAGGCCACGCAGAAGGCCTGGGTCTGGGTCCTGGGTCTACTCAAACACACTCAGCACCTGGCTGCAAGGCTGGGGAGGACCCCGTTGAGGATCTCTCTCTCTCTCTCTCTCCCTCTCTCTCTCTCAAGAAATAGCTACAAATAAACCAATTAAAATCACAATAGCTTCCCCGGAAGTGTCGTGTTGAGAGCTCATGAGCTGGTGTAGGCCAAGGCCCCCGAGCCCTGTGGAGCCCTCACTGGGGTTAAGTGCTCCAGAAGACACCGTGTCCTGCTGTTACAGTGACTTCTCTCCCCTTCACACCCTCTGTGATGGGCACTACTGGCCCTCCCGTTTCATAGACAAGCAATCCGGCCTGCGAGACTCACTGACGGGCTCACTGTCACACAACTGGTGTCCAAAGTCTGGATTTGACACACACACAAAGTCCCTACAGACAAATCGACACACAACACTGAGCTCCTTGACATGGAAACAGGTGAGAGAGGACAAAGCTCTGCCTAACTCGCAAAGCTACGGGTAGTCAGAGAGGGCTTTTCGACGAGGTGGCCTTGAACTTTCTGCCATGCCTGCAGTAGTCAGGACTGTTGGTCCCACAAGCTTCTTCAGAAGCAACAGAGAGCCTCCGTGAGTCTTTGGGGAACCATGCCCTCTGACCATAAGAAGCCCCCCAAGTCTTGGCCAAGACAACTCCCTTGCTCCCTCACCCCTGGAGTTCCACCTCTCTGCTGACACTACACCAGTTTACAATGCAGGGAGACAGCGGAGCTTGGTGTCATGTCCTGAGTTCAGGAGCTGGCAGATAGATAAAGCAGACCGAGGAGGCAGCAGGAAGCAGGGTTTCTCCCAACCTCACACGGGAGCTGGAAGAGGACAGTGAGCTGTAGGGCCCACCATTCTCCTCTTAACTCACACTTGGGTTAGAAAGCACAGCCCAGACTTAAAGGTGTGAGCATTATAGGGACACCCTTTAGAGCCCAGATTCCTGGCGGGGGGGTGGGGGTCAGCGGAGGCAGGGCATCAGCATGCCTGACTGGTTCCCAGACACTGACCATGCAGGCCCAACCATGTGAGCAAGGTTGCTCTGGTCATTCCCCAGCTCAGGACAGGCAGGGCAGAAACCGCTTTTTCCCAATGGGGGTCTGTTAGGAGAGGGAATGCAGGGCTGGGGTGGCTGAAGAACACCTGCCTGGCCTCCTGGCCTCAGGAACAAAACACCCATCTCTAAACTGCAGGGTGGGACCGATGACCATGGAGGTGACTTCTAGCTCTGACATTTATAAGTTCATAGGACAGAAAGGTCAGAGAGCTTCCCAAAGAAAGAAGAGGGAGGAGAAAGCTCGGTGGCTACTCCTGTCAGTTGGACCCAGGAATGGGGACCTCAGTTCCTCATTCCCTTATAGTTAGAATGTGCAGTGCAGGTCCAGCTACCGCAGTGCCTGCTGGGTGCTGCTCCTCTGCAAGCTGCGGCTGCATGGAGGTCTGGGTTTGATTCCTAGACCCTGCTAAAAGCCGGGTATGGAGATATACCCCCATAGTCCCAGTCACTAGGGAGGCTGATACTGAAAGGACTGCAACATCATGAGGACCTGTCTTTTAAGAAAAAGAAAATGAAAAAGAACACAGAGTACAATTGGCACCACCTGGAATTCCCAACTCGCAGAGGGGACATTGGCCCTAGGGCACTGATCTGAGGGACATCCTGCCCTTTTGGCTCCAGTACTTCCCCCTTTGCTAATATTCACACATTTCCCATGTGACTTTGCAGTTCTTCCTGTTGAAAGAGCAGAGTGCATTTCCCAGCCTTTGGCTTCTGGTTTGGCCTGGATTTGCATTATCCAACAGCCAGAGGCAGAAATGGCAGGCGTTGGGTCTAAGCCTCTACCTGATGAGGCACTGCCATTTCCCCTTGATCTATTCTCTTTCTTCTAGAGAAGAAAATGCTCATCGGGAGTGGGATGGGCGGAAGGAGTGGGGTTTGAGAAACTCCAGGAGCCAGACCAAGTCCAGACAGATCAGCTCACTGCCAATGGGCCCTGGATTCATGGGTGAACTCAGCTGAGATCAGGCTGAGCCCAGCAGACCCGTCCAGCAGTCCATCCTACCTCCAGCCACCTGCAGCCTCCTGAGCGACAGTGGCGCTCCCCCTGCATGCTGCTGGGCTGCTGTGGTTGCTTGCACTCAGCCCAGCTGCTGCAGTTTCTGTGTACTGTACACAAGCACTCGCGGAAATGGGCAGCCGCAGAGACTTACTCCCAATAAACTCCTGGCCTCCCAGACGCAATGTCACCTGGCGGCTCCCTTGGTCATATGACACCCCAGGACAGGAAGCATTAGCCTGGGCTTCAGTAGAGTCCATCCAGTCTTCAACATTGCAGAGCAAGACGGCAGGGGAGCTCAGCATCCCACAGATGATGGGACCTGCAGAGTCACAAGAGAAAGCAGGGGTTATGTGAAAGGGAACAAGCAGGACCCTTTAGAGACTTTCTGCTGTGCACTTACTGTGCCCTGTGCTGGTCTGGTCTGGACTTGACCATGTTCCATGCCCCCCTCCACCACCCCCACTCCCGAGAGCCTTGCAGATGGGGAAAGGTTACACCTCTGGAGGGAAACTCCTGGATTAGAACTCAAGAGCCTGATCCTAGGTTGGATCATCCTTCCTTGACTGTCATGTAGTTGTCTCACAGCAAACTCCCACAGGGAGAGCCACCACAGACTCCTACAGGGAGAGCCTGTAGTTCCTTCCCTTCCACCAGAAACCCTTCTACATGGGCTTAGCAGCAATGACAACACCTTCATCACGTTGGGCATGTCCCCACCAGAGCCATGGCCACAATTTTCCACCCTACCCAACAGAGTGACCTTTTTGAACTCTAAAGAAATCAACAGTGACTGCTGTTGCTTCTTCTCCTTCCTCTACATCCTCATCACCCTTGCTCTCTTCACACACATGCATACATATAAACACATACACATGCAGACACACATACACACATACATGCAAGCACATACACATACTTACATACAAACAAACACATGCATGTATGTGGGCCTCTCGAAGTATCCAAGCAGAGGCTGTGTGGCCATATGCCTGGGATGGAGAAAGAGATTGATAACTAGGAGTAGATCAATAACTAGGGGAGTCATGGAACTATCGTGTCTTGGATACACATTCATTCTGAATTTTAAAAGCCGCCCTCAAGTTCTGACTTTATTTAGCATCTGGAAGAACCACCCCCTGAGGCAAACTGAATTTGAGGTGATGTTAGTGGGACAAATTCAAGTATCTCAATGTGCCAGATGTCTGCTCTGGGCCAGCGGCTGCTGAGCGCTTCATGTACATTAATCCCCTCAACACTGCCGTCTCCATTTTACTGATGTGGTGATGCAGTCTCACGTGAATTAAGCAAATTGCCCCAGTTCGTTCAGATCCATAAATGAAACAATGCATGGATTATTGGGATAAATAACTCTTTTAGAGGGTATAGTTGCTCAGACTCTCAAAAGAGAGAGAGAGAGAGAGAAAGAGAGAAATATACCATCTCACAACCCTACTCTCTTCATTTCCCTCATTTCCTGTTTTATGTCCAAATCCAGATATTGCTTCAGACACTCCTTTCACTGCAATTTCCCCAGAGTAGATGACTCACGGATGTCTGGTTCGCGAATTTAACATTTTGTCCTCTTCCCTTCCATGGGCCACTTTTAACAGTAGTTTAAAAATCATCATCACGGACAGCATCTGTAGAAAGCTGGCCCTAGAGGGCATCTGATGTGGTGGTTCTCCAACCAGGGTGCTTAGATTAGTGACATCGGAAACAGAGGGAGAGTCTGGACAATGCCCATCCCTAGGCATGGGCCCGACTTTCTGACCTGGCAGGTGATGTGTGTGGGGGGTGGAGGTGTTTGGGACTCAGCAGAAAGAGCAATGAGGATTTGAATGCGCAGCCAGATTCCAGAACCACTATCCTCATTTTACAGTGAGGAAACTGAGGCACAGAAGGGGAGCATGGTTTTCTGGTTGCTGAGAAACAGCAGGACGGCCAGAGGCAGCAAGAGCCTGGGCTAGGTGCAGACAGGGGTGGCCCTGGAGCCCACGGGCAGCCATGGGTACAATGAGAGCCCGGTGAGAGAGCAGAGGAAGACTGACCACTGCTGTCAGGCCTTCTAGCAAGCCAGAACCAGGATAATAAAATCACATAAGAGCCAGACTATATTTTCCTTTCCGCTCTCAG